CCACGGGCCGGGGCCGAGGAGGGATTGGGGTGACGGGTGCCGGGCCCCGCAGCCTCTCCCAGGGGAGCCCCCCGCCAGCCCGGCGCAGGGTGACCGAGAGGCAGCTCCGCTTCGTGGAGGCGGCGACGCCGAGGGTGCTGTCCCGCCGCCGTGAGGGGCCCGGGATGCGGCTGGGGCTCCCTGGGGCCGACAGGCAGCTGCGATGAAGGGCCACGTCCTCCTCCATGGCGGCCGGCAGCGGAGGTGCTGGGGGTGCCAGGCCGGGCTGGGGGCCCAGGCTGTCCCTGCTGTCAGGGCTGTGGTGTCTCGGGGTGCAGAGCTCCCTGGGGCTGCTGTCATTGACGTGCCTGAGCCCCCACCTCCAGCCCTGTCCGGCCAGCCCGCCTCCAGCTGGGACAATGGGGCTCTTGTGGCCCGCATGGCTCGCTCCCACGCTGGGTGCCATGGCCACTCCTGCCCCTGCCCAGCACCTTCCTGCCCCCTGCCACCAGCAGCCCCACAGCATGGGCAGCACCACAGCATGACTGACCCCCTGCCCTGCTCCCACGGCAGGAGGTGGAGGGGTGATGCAGACCTGCCAGGTCAGGCCTGTGCTGCCTGCTTCCAAGGACACTGGGTGTGATTAAAAAAAAAAATAAAAAAAAAATTAAAATATTTGAATTTTTGAAATGCTTTCCCTTCCTCTCTTAGTTTTTTTGCCCTCAAGTGGCATATTCAAGTGCAACAATTTATATCCCACTGTGCAAGTTCAATGGTCAGTTGTTGCATATTTGTCCAAGTTGATGCTTCATGCTCTTACTCTGATTTCCTTTTGCTTCTTTATTATCATCATTCTTATGATTGTTTCTTAATTTTGCCAGCTTTGTGGCATTTTCAGGGTCAAGAGGGTCCAGCTTGCCACTCAACACCTTCCTCACTTTGAGGGCTTTGAAGACTTTGAAGGGCAACACAATAAACAAGGAGGAAAGGAGTAAGGCATTTTGGTGGGATGGGATGAGAATATGAATGGTTTGGTGAGCAAGTGGGAACAAAGATAAGGAGAGACAGGCACCCACAGTGTGGCAGTAACCATGTTTGCGTAACTTCAGGTAACCAGGCCTGAGGGAAGTGGAAGAGGAACCATCCAATGACCCCCATCAAGCCTTTGGGAACTCTGGTGGAAGGCAGAGCCCAGGACAGTGTGAGTTCTCTGCTTCCTTAAGGGCAAAGAGACAGAAAACATGAAAAAACCCCAACCTGATACTGTGTAGTATTTCCAGCACTAAGTATCTTCTGTGATTTTTATGCAGTTTAATTCAGTATCTGTGACTATTTCCTTCTCCCCTGAGGTCTTCTTGGCTGCACAGATCCCACAGAGGAGAAATGATCTCCATTTTCAGGCAGTGTTTGCCTTTGGCTTAATTATTCCCAGAGAGCCTGGCAGTGTAGCTGGCAGAGGAGCCAGCCCGATGGAGACCTACCCTGTTGGAAAGGAAACCTTACTGCAGACTGCTCCTTGCTGCCTGCCCAGAGCTAGAAGGAAGCAGCTCCCAGGGGGAACAGCAGGAAAATAAAGCATCAACCATACAGTTTGTCACACACTTCCACTGGTGAAGCCTTTGACACCGCTGACAGTAAAGTCCTTCATAGCCATGGAAAATACCTGGCTTAATGCTGATTGTGTCAGGACTAAACTGCACAAAACATAAGCCAGAGGAGATGAACAATTAGATTCCCTTTAATCCAGCCCTCACCTGGTTGCTGTCTTCTTTTGCTCAGTTTCTGTGTTGTCACAGGCAGAGTAGAGGTCAAAACAGGCACAACAGCATGCAGAGAAAGGGAGAGTGCAGGCTCCCATTCCCACAGGGATGGTTTAACTTCTTCCTAACTGCTCCAAGTCCCTCAGCTCCAGTGGAGAGGTATTTATGCTACCCCACAGTTCAGCTGTGTTCATTTACAGGGCAATCCCACCTACTGGGGAGTCAAGGTGAGGAAGCAGATTTCCAAGTTGGTGTTTGGAGATATGGCTGTGATGTGCAAGAGGGCAGGGAATGTGAGCCATGCAGCTGAGGGTGGCACATCAGACCATGTAACCCAGCCCCTTGTTACTTCCATTTCACAGCCCCAAGTCACAAAAATGTATCTGTTTCAGACTACACCTGCTTTTTGAGTCTTTGCTTGCCAGGGCAAGTATAACTTTGGGCACAGCAGTAATCCCATTCACTGCATTTCCCTGCTGAGTGAGATTCCCCAGTTAGGGTGCTTGCATCACGGCCTCTGTTGCTTGGCTGAATGAAAGGACTCCTGACTTGTCATCTGTCTGAAACAAAGCCAGAAACCTTCCAGTGTGCCTGGTTTTGGTGTGGAAAAGAAGAGTAATGCAATTGCAGTCTGGTAGATTAAATGTCCCAGAAAGACCCAGGATATTTGCAGGATGTCCTGATCCATTCCTTGGAGCTAAAAATTAACTTTCATCCCCAGAGAATTACCAGCTTTCATAATGCACCTGTGCTTTGAGCCTTTTCTTGCCAGGGCAAGCAAAACTTTGGGCACGGGAGTGATCCCATTCACTGAGTTCTCCTGCAGAAATCACTCCCAGCAGCCCAATGAACTCTCCTTTCTTTGGGAATGGAGGAGCAAACTTCCTGCTTCCATGTTCACAGGTGAGGCTGAGTGACACAAGCCAGGAGCTGTGGCAGATTTTCACAGCTGGCTTGAGGAACCCCTGCTGCTGAAAGAAGCCACTGGGGACTAGAGCACAGAGCCATAGCAATGGAAAGATGCTGGAGATGTGGGTTGCCATTACACTGGCTGCCCCAGGTGATGGCACAGGATGCATAGACATGTGCACATAGGATGGTGGTACCAGCTAACATACCTGGGATATGCAGGAGTGGGGCACACAGGATCCCTCTGTGTCCAGAGCATGCACAGGTAGCACCATTGCACCTACATGCATGCAAAGGGTGGATGTTGGGGTGGGAGGAGAGGAGACACAACCTCCTGCCACAGGCTCCTTGCTCTCTCAAACCCCCCTGTACACACTGGGCATTGCACTGGGCTGGAAGGGAGAGAGAGGATGGGAATATCCCTCTCAGCTTCAATGTCACAGCTTCATACAGCATTTTGGTGGCTGGTTATCCCTGTGACAGTGCATATAGTCTATAAACATGGGATTTTGTGCCAGACCTACATTATATGGCTTGGGACCAGAAAGCAAAGGTGGTACAATGGGCCCATTTAGATGGCAGGCTCAATGTTCTTTCTCAGAGACATGCAGGGAAAAAAAGGGCTGAGGGATGCTTCCCAGCTTTCACTGGGAAACAGTCAAGGGAGAGCTTATCCAGGCTGTAGGGCTCTGCAGTGCAGGGGACTGAACAAGTGCAAGTTGCTTCACAGACTATCCCATCTCCCTCCATGACGGAGGAGCAGAAGGTAAGGCAGATCAGGAGCAGCTCATGTGGTAAGTCTGGCAGCACCCCTTCATGGAGACCTGCAGAATGTTCTCAGCTTGACACAGGACTTGAACAAACCTCTTTAATAAAGACCTTTAATTTGAATGAGGTGCATCTGGAATGGATGTATGGATGGATGTTCTCCATCTCCCAAACAGACACAGAAGGGGTGTGCATTTAGCAAGGATAAAGGCATTCAGTCTTTGAGGCTCATTGAGCCGTTGGTACCCCTGCACAGAGCTTCAGCAAGCTCAACATCCTAGCACTGAGAGTGGGTGCTGGGAAGAGCTCAGCTAAAGCAACAATTTGTATTGAAACCCCATTTATTTTCCCCAAAATACCCCTTGGACTTAGACAGACTATGATAGATTTAACCTAGGGAACAGGAATACAAGGTTCTGTATCCCTTTGCAAAACCAGGTACCTTTCCTGCTGAAAGTCCCATCAAGATGCCAGGCAGCTCAAACTCAAGTGATTAACAAGGCATATTTCATTTGAGTGGTCCATCAGTCTTGGCCAAGGGAAGGAGCAGAAGTCCTTGGCTGGCTGAAGAGTCGTGAGCACATGGGAAGCCCCAGCCACACAAACCTTGACTAAGAAGCAAAGAGGCAGACCAGCCCCACTTTTATCAGGGCAGGACAGCCATCCCTCGTGAGGCTTGTGGTCTGCTGCCTACCCGGGAGAGATTCCTCTGGCTGTGATGGACAGCTTGTCAGACCTCGGGCACCCCAAAGGCCAGGTTGTCCCGAATCATCAGTGTCTTCCGAAGATCTCGCTCCATGATTGGCCTCTGTGTTCGCCACTTATGGGCTTCCTGGAGTCCTGGTTCAAAGTAGTAAATGCAAGCTCCAAAGCCGACCAGGATGAGAATGGAGATCATCAGATACACGGGTACAAACCAATCCAAGAAGTGGGGCATGGCTGCCAGAGAAAAGGAGAGAAAGCTCATGCAGTGGGAACACCCAAAACACACCTCCACCAAGACTGATCACAAGACACCTGCCTCATCAGCAGTGCCCAGTCCCTCCTCACAGCCCTGCTGGACCTGGTTTATGCTTGGTTGCACATGAAGGCACCTCATCCACTGGGAGAGGTCAATGCATTTGGGATCATTGCTGGGATCCATGCACAGAGTCAGTCCTGCTCCCTCCCCACAAAGGGGGTTGGTCCTGCTGCCAGTGATTAAAGGTAGGCAGTGGGTAAATACAGCTGCTTCTCACCTCCTGTTTGAGGGAAAATCTGCTTCCCCTGACACTCCATCACCTCTCTGACTTCCCAGTCTGAGCTGGTCTGGCTCAGGACTGAGCCCTCCCTTACTGCGCCTCAATTTCATGTCCTGCTTTGCCAGGGCTCAGGGTCCTTTGTTCAGCACCAGTCTATGAACAGAGGTGAGATCCCTCCACCACATCAGCCACTGTGCAGTGGGGAACACTCACCAGGAGCAGCTGATCTGCCTTGCTAAGAACCCCTGGCCAGCCGGGTGCAAGGTGAGTCTGGAGCAGCGTTGCCCTGGGGAACACAAAACAACACCACACTGTGTAGTTGCTGCTGGCCCAGCACTAAAAATGAGAGAGCAGGAAGGAGAAACATCTCCTTGTCCAGATGTCAGGGCTGAAGATTTTTGGAGGGGTGGACAAACGGGGTCCCAGCCCCATAACCTGCTGGTGCCCTGGCACACTCTCTTCCCACCATTGTGGCCCTGCTGATGCCATGCTTAGAGCATGTACCCTAACTTAGGGCCATTTAAATCTGTAATGGCATCATATTTGAACCCATCCCTTATCCCCATCCTTTGGGAAGGAGAGAGCAACCCACATTGCAACTCACAAAGGTGCCCAGCCTGTTCAGCTCTGCCACTTGCTCTGCACCAAAATGGCAGCCAAGGTGTGGATCATGCACAGAAAAGGGGATCCAAAAGCATCTCCCGTGAAATGCACAGCTACAACTTCACCAGGCACTAGATCTTCTGGGTTTTGCACTGTGAATGTGCTGCTTGTTAAAGGCTTTGGTGGATTAAACCTGGGACCCTCACACTTAGGAAAGCACAGTGGTGGCACAAAAATGCAGTCCTGAAAGGAGGCTTTCCGTAACCCTCCCCTCCCTTGGTGGGAGTGATGAAATGCCCATTGACTTCAGTGGGGACAGAGTTAGGGGAGACCTGTACCCACATCAAATTCCTTCTTTTCCAGATAGATGAAAGATGTCACATCTGACTGGCACCCAAGTCATCCCTCTGCAATAACCATATATCCTCAAATCCCTTCCACAGGGTGGGTTAAGAGGAGGCTGGGGAGAGCTCTGAGCATTTCCATTCTCTTCCTGGCTCCTGACCCATAAGGTTGATGCCTTTTCCACACCAGGAGCTGGGATTTTATTTTATTTTATTTTATTTTATTTTATTTTATTTTATTTTATTTTATTTTATTTTATTTTATTTTATTTTATTTTATTTTATTTTATTTTATTTTATTTTATTTCATGTTATGTTATGTTATTTTATGTTATTTTATGTTATTTTATGTTATTTTATGTTATTTTATGTTATTCTATTTTATTTTATATACCACAGCCATCAGTTGTTTTCAATGTGCCCAGCAGCATTTATCTTCTGGACACCTCTTGTTCCAAGAGGGTGTGTAACAGTAAGTCTTTTGTCACAAGGTAAGATTTGAAACAAGCTGCAATTCTTATTACCATAGGAAAGAAACTGCAGAAAACACCTGATTTCCTCCCACTTATTGGCATGGATCTGTTCTGGGCACTGCTGCTGCCTCTTCGTGGCTGCCTGTGCCTACCTCAGATCAGCAACTGCTGAGGAAAACTTCCATCATGACTTGCAACATCATCACAGAGGTTTTGTGAGGAGCTATGAGGCTTCCCTTATCGTACTTTAAGGGATCGTGTAAGGAATTAGGCACAAACTTCCCTTCTGCAACCAGAGTTGGGTCTGAACTCCGGGCCAGAAACCCCTCAGCACAGCTTTCCTACATGCTCTGCAAAAGTAGCTCCTCTGCACCCCCTGCACCCCCCAGCTGCAGCTGCAGACATCCTGGGAAGCTCAGGCTGCTGCAAACCCCTTTTTCAGAGGTATCTCAGCAGCTGGTATCTGTCCCTGGCTGCAAGAGCAATGGGCAGGGTTAGGGACACTGTGAAGGTGAGTTCAGCTTGGATCTCTTGGGCTGATGGGAGGAAAGCCAATAACCTCATTCCCTTCCCTGATCATCCACTTTCCAAATGAAGCTGCCATCCAGAAAAGCACTGCAATAAAAAGCAGCCCTACACACTTCCCAATTCATCCTTCCTCCATCACTAGCAGAGCCAGCATTTCCTAGCTCCTTGCCAGCAGCCTGTTCTTCAGTCTACTTGCTATGCAGCCCTATCCTCCTGCTGTGTCCCCACGCTGCTCACCCGTCCCCGCCCCCTCAACGAAGAGTCCTCATCATGGCCAAGCCGAGCGCTGGCTGAGGTGTCAGAGCCCCCCTCCAGCCTCTGCAGGGCTGGCCTGGAGAACCAACTTGCTTCTGTCAGACGGGTGAGCAGATTTTGGCCGCAAATACTGAAAAGAGGGAGTTTCATTTAAAGATGTTAGCTTTCTGGAGCTTTTTCTGGAGCAGTTCTGCAGATATTAAATGTGCCTTAATCTTGCTGGACCAGTTGATCTTCAGCACCTCATTTTGCAGTGGGACATCCATGTCCCCACAAAGACACGGAAGAGTCCTTGGTCTTCCATCCAAAAGCGTGTCTCATATAGATAAGCTGTCTGACCCCTTCTAAACCCGTGCTACACCTCACTCCAGCCTCTTGTCTTCAATGTCACCCGTGGATCCTCTATGCCACCTCCCACTGCCCCCGAGATGCCGTGGGTACACTTGTGACAGGAGCCCCAGGGAGAATGTTGCAAGCGGCGGGGCTGAAACTGCTTGGGGGAGGCTGGGAGCAGCACGCCCGAACACAGGAGAATTTGGGCACAGAAGCCTCCCGTGTGCATGGCTGGGAGCACAACCCAGCTTGCAGCGTTACAAGCCGTGGGCTCACCCTGACCGCAGAAGCTTCCCCCGGACCTGGGCACCCTGGGGCAGGCTGCAGCTTGGGGCACGGAGCTGCCGCTGACTGGGGACCCAGACGTGACCTCGCTCCCATGCACCGCATCCCCAGCAAGCACCGCTACCTGCCCTGCCACCTGCCACCTACCTTCTTCCACGGGTGCAGGACGACGGGACGAGACTGCTCCCTCTGGCACCTGCCGAGTCCCAGCCGGGATGAGTCAGGCTCCTTTCCCGGCCAGGCGGTGCCAGGGAGAAGGGACCCCGCCGGGAGAGCTGAGCGACAGCGGGAGGCGACAGGCGCGGATGGGCGGGAGGAAGGCAGGGAGGGAGGGAGGGATGGCGGGAGCAGCTGCGGCGGGCGGGGGAAGGACAAGCAGCCAGCAGCGTGGCCTCATTGCCCACCGGGATTCCCGGGGGCTTCCCCCACCGCCTCCCCGGCAGTGTCAGCCCCGCTCCAGCCTCCCCGGGGTACCCCACAGCCGGCCTTCCCCCACACACAAGAACGACTGTCTGCCAGGGATTGCATCCCGGCGCGGGGAGCGGGGAGCATTTTTAGCAGCGGTCGCTATGGCAACGAGCCTCCCCAGTTCACCCGCACCTGGTACCCGGGTCAGAGCCACGGGGAGCTGGCCGCGGGATGCTCTCCGTCCTCCCGCATCATCCGCAGCTCGGCTGCAGCCCCGGAGGAGGAGAAACGCTGGGGCAAACGTGTGTGAGCTCGAGCTGATGGAGATGGACACAAAGTTCAGGCTCCACAGATTTACCGGCGTGTGCAGCCCAGGGACTGGGGGCTGGTGGTTTTTCATCAGTGGATGGGAGGCAGAGAGAGAGAAGGGTGGAAGAGGCAAGGAGGTTATTACTCCCTTCAGGGCTTTTATGTAAAATGAAATCAACACTTTGACCAAAAGAATCTTCCATCAGGAAACAGAAAAACTGTCTGAAGTACTATTCTTGCTTTCAGTGAAATACCTTTTTGCTGAATCCATTTACCCAGTTCTGTCATTGCTGCTGCTGACAAGAGACGTTTTGTTTAAACATTTTCAGCTTTTCAGCAGCACAAAAATAGGAACATGCAAACCTACAGGTTTGGGTTTTTCATAATGGAGTTTTTTTGTTGTTTGGTTTGTTGTTTTTTTTTTCCACAAAGGGAAATTTTCACCATGACCTAGAAATTGTTTAACACAAAAAAGTTTTAGCAAAATCAAACAAACAACTGGCTCCAGCCTGAAGAACTGCCTGCTCTCCTGCCTGTGCTGTCTACCTCCACCCACTTAGTTTTTGACACTTATAGCCCTGCAGATGTGCCCCAGTGAGTTATTGTAAAGGTTTTCAGGATTAATAGTATCCACTGAAATGTATGAGGCCCAAATTTGTGACTGCTACACTCCAGAAGCTGTGAGATTTGAGGCACTACTTCCCAGTAGGTTATGTTTCAGGCACAAATGAGTTCATCCTCTCTCCAAGCCAACCTGTGGATGGTGACAGAGCCCATGTGTGCTTGCCAGCTCCAAGGGTAATGCACAGTAAGGGTCTGTGCCAGGATTTCCACCAGTGCAGAGACAGGCTGTGATGGAGCTGTGGGAGCTGACTGATATGCTCTGTGATTTCCTCTTCATCCTCTTTTGGTCCTCCTGAGCCTCACTTCTTCTTGATGTAACTTTATAACAGCTTAGAAACATTGACTATAGACCTTGCAAGCCCTCCATACCTAGCAGGATATCTGCATGGAGCATCAGATCCATTAGGTTTAGCTATCTGCTTCTTGGTTTGCCCCAGTAAGGTGGGAACTCCAGATGATTGCCATTGTGGAGCCTGTAATCGTGCCTTAATTTTAACCTCAGTGAAGTTCAGACATGACACTCACCTTGACCATCAGCACAGTAACTGCTTGACTAATCACACTGTAGGAGGTGGAAAACACAGGCCTCACAGTTTTGACCATACTAGGAGAGAAACCTGTGGCTTGGAGGAAAAGATTTTTAAAAATAAATGGAAGGATATTGTTTATTGCATCCTCAGAGCAAATGTTAAGGACAGGCAAAGACATTCCATTTGAGAGGGCAAAAGGAAAACCCCTTTCCAGGTGTGCAAGGAAAATGAGTGGGAGATCAGTGGTTGCTGGCACAAGGTAGGAGACTATTCATTTATCCAGGTGTCTGGTCAGTGGTGAAGTTGCAGGCACCCAGTAGAGCCTGCCAGGCCAGGCATCCTCATGCCACAAGGTGTAAGCTCCTCCCATTGTCCCTAGCCAACTGTCCCAACTCTCTGTTCTAGGTCACCTCAGGGGCACATCAGAGCCAGTGTGTGTTTGTCAGTCTTCAGCTTGTTCCCAGGTTTAAGCTCAGGCTTAATGCCAGAATGCTGCTCAGGCAGCCAAAACCCCAGAACAGCAATAGTTTTGACTCACGAGGTCATTTTCTCCTCTGGCTCACTTCTCTGACATGCAAACACTGGGAGCACATGACAAGGAATGGTGATCACATCTTTCTGCAGCCATCACCACAGCAGTGGGCAAGGTCATGACATGGCAGCCTCACTTGCTTCAAGCAGGAGTCCCCCCAGATGAGTCTGAAGCACCCTTGGATGCAGCAAGAAAAAGACATGGGGCTTTGTGCTGCTGGAGCTGGGACACGCTTGAAGACCCTATGCCTCTGACACAGCTGCTTGCTGCCTGTGACAGGGCGCTCAGGTGCTGTCACATCCTTTGGTTTCCAACAAGAACTGAAGCTTTGAGACAGCTCCAGGCATTGATGTGCCAGTACAGCTCAATCTGCATGGAAACAGTTCAGCTGCAGTTCAGCTTTCACCTCAGATGAGGCTGCTGTGTGCCACTCAGGTCTTCCAGGCATAAGCTTGTGCATATCATTCTGCCTGATGCCTTGGGGCCTTCCAGCCCCCTTCACCTGGCTTGGAGGAAGCCTCTGAGTGTCTGTGCATACACTGAGCCCCTCAAAGCCATTCATCCCAGGACACCTGCCTATCACCATGCCTCTGACTCCCTCCATATTTCTGGGCAACCACAAATTCACCTGCGTGATGAAGGCAAACATGGAGTCAGGTTTGATGTGAGAGGGCCACCTAGCCAGACCAGAAATCATGAAACCCTTCTCAAAACAAAAGAAAAAAGCCTTGGCTGGAAAAAAAAAGGAGATGATCAGGCAACCTTGGGCACATACTTCCTGTATGTAGCATGCTTGTAGCATGCCTGTAAATCACAGCATAAGCAAGTACTAAGCTCAGCTTAATCCCAGGCCTGGTTAAGTGTTATTCCAGGCTTTCTTAAGTTTTTTCACTGTTCTTGATGCTTTTATCAGCATCTTCTGAGATGACCAGACCCAGGTCAATGCACGTCTTTAAAGCAACACCAACCTCCCAATATTACTTTCCCAATGTAAAGAGAAGCATGGGAGAAGATGGAGTTTATCAAACTCGCCTTCCCCAAGGTCTGCAGTAGAGGACAAAAAAGGGTCACAGAAATGCTTCCCTGCTCAGCTGCTGGAGGTGAGGGAGCTGCTGCAGGAGGCAGAAGGCACATAGGATGCATGGCAGGGCATCAGTTGGGGATAGTCTGGTGGAAAAGCAGATTAACTCACCTTCTGGGTGCTACTGCAGCTTCAGAAAAGGAAACCCATTAGAGAAGCTTTGCTGAGTTGATCAAAAACTAAGTATGTATAGTGAGTTAAATTAAAGAGCAGAATGAAAAAAGCTGACTTACTTTGGGTCTAAAAATAGCTGTGAAAAGCCTTTGCCAAAGGAAGCAGAAATTGCCAGCAACATATGTGAAAATGTCATTAATTTCTCTAATAATTTGCACTTGCTGCAAATGATATAATTTTTGTCTATTAGTGAGAGAACAAGTGCAATCAAATACACACGAGTTCTATCTTGCAGGCTTCCCAGGAGGGATGATGAGAAGTCAGCCTGGAGCCAATAAAGCATGAGCAGGTGACATCTCATTGAACTCATACTGAATGGGGTTCTCAGGAGCTGGGAGCAGTCACTAAGACAACTGGGACCATGCTCTTCTCTAGACCATCTTTGAAGCTTGTCTCCTTTGCTCCTCTGGCTGCTCAGGAAGAACCAAGAGAGAAATCTGAGAGAAATTATCTTGAGATGCAGGCACTGGATGAATCATATAGCAAACTGGCCATGGATACATGAGGACTAAGTGTGCTTTTTAACATTTTTTGTACTGGCTGGTGTATTCCTGCTGCAGTAGCAGCTGACCCATTCCGAGCAACCCCTGGTGATGGCCAGGCCAAGTCTTGCTGCTGTTAGTTGTGATTTTTTTGGCAGCATCTTCATGTTGGCTGCAATACACTTCTGCCCATTTGTGGAATGGTTTGTGCTATCAGAGAAATGTACAGTGGCCCACAGAGTAAAATCAGGAGCTCTCTCCTTCCATATCATGCCCCGCTCTTGTTCCTTCTGCTTACACTCTGGGCCAGTGCACTGACACCTGTCTCAGCTCTCCTGCACCACTCAGAAGCAGAGATCAACTCATTAGTCCCACTTTGCAAACTGGAAATTGAGCAAAAAGAGGTGAAACAACCTGACACAGTCACACAGGGATATGTAAAATACACCCTGGCCTCCAAAACCAACCACATCTCATCCCTCTCCCTTCCTCTCCTTGCCAACCTACAAATCTAGGCAAGAGCTGCAGGCACATTGCCAACCCAAACCTCCACTTCCTTATAATGTCCTCTACCATGAAAAATAATTTTCTGTGGGATGAGTGGTAACTCATCTGGATCCACTGAATGTCAACAGACACCAGCGTGGTAAGAAGACGGAAGCCTGCAGCAGCAGGGCACAGCAACCATGTCCCTGACCAGACACTAAAGCCACCCAGGCCCTTCAGTGGGGCCAGAGAGCAGGCAACAGGGGGCAGAAAGAGGACAAACACCTTTTAGGCGTGTGCAAGAGCTTGTAACATATTTCCACACCTTCAGCAGCCCAAAAGGAACATTGTTCTATTTGCTCTCTACATCACCCCAGCCTGGGAGCCAGCTTTTGTTATTTTATTGCATCTGCTTGTCTCCCATCTTTAGGACACGTCTGCCCTGAATTTATCCTCCCTTCCCCCCACCAAACTCAAAAACAGCCAGAAATATCTTGCAATCTCTTCTGCTTCACCTGTAATTTGTCTCATGCTGGCAATGAGGGAAACCGTCTGCCTTTGTCAAGATCAAAAACGCCACAGTGGCCATGTGATGTCAGCTTTCGTTAACCCTGTCTCTCTCCCCTTTGCCTCCCCTCTCCAGATTGTTGCAGAGATGCAGATGTGTCTTCATTCTCCTGCAGCTCTCTTCTTCCCCTGACTGCAGCAGCACA